CTCCTCCTCCTCCTCCTCCTCCTCCTCATCATCAGAAAAGCATGTGTTGTCGTGGTAAGCCTATTCAACTTCTGTTCAAGATGCATAATATTCCTGAACATCTACAAAAACATGCAGGACATTAATTTTTCTCTCTCTGACCCCCTCCCCCCTCCGAATTTTCTCTCACTTTCTACTCCACAACAACTCCTCCTCCTCCTCCTCTCCTCCGCCTTCTCCTCTGCCACCACCACCATCACCACCACCATCACCACCACCACCCCTGGGGAGGTGCTACTGACTGAAATGTCTTTAGGCCATTCCCAATAGAGGGGGACATTAACATTTTATGCACAGTAGAATTGTAATTGTAAGTGGGCTGATTCATCAATGTCATGCTCATAACTGTGCCTGAACTACAATAGGGAACCGCTGCTTTTTCTTTCTTAATCCTTACTGTCATCATATTTCCTCTACTTCTTTTGTATATATTTGTCACACTCTTGTGACCCGCTATTTCCGGGATGCCTTGATAGTTGAAGCAGACTTTGTGCGGTCAAAGCTAGAGAGGTGAGTAGAGTAAGTCTGATTCCCTGTAAGGACTTCTCTGTTGAAATCCACCCCTTGGCGCTCATGTGACCTTATGCAGTTGCGAGCGCCGTAAAACCTCTACTAAAACAACAGCAACAACAACTCACATACGAACTCACATCAAAATCCACGTCGTTGTATCTGTAGTACATGTCCCCGCTAAAGAAGTAGGTTCTGCCGTTCTTCCACTTGAGGGCCGCGTCCACCCGTTCGGGGAGACCCGTCCATACTGACATGGGCTTGGGGTAGCCTGGGTCTACGTGATTCACTGTGTACCGCCAGTACTGGTTACCTGGGGGGAGAACAACACACATTACGACATGTGTAAGTCATTTAGGAGGATGGCTGCCTCGTCCTATCCTGTCACGCCCAACCAGCACAGATGTGCAAGATACATCATTTCGTCCCAGAAAAAGAAAGGCAATTCTCGACAAAATCTATATATATAAGTGCGTATATGTGGATGGTTGTTGTCTATAGCTGAAAAAACTACGAAACGTAGAACCATGAAAAAACTACTGTAGGTAGTTCAAAGACCAAGCTAAGTTTTTATCAAGTCAGTAAGTGCTTGTATTTGACTAAAAAATTTAGAAAAATAGAAAACACTATCGGCCGTTTACACATTTCCGTTTACAAATTTCCGGTTCGTCATTTCAATGCAGTGTTAAAAACATATTTCGTTTTCCAGGATATAAAAATTGCTCTTCCGCCGGAAATAAACACATTTTCTTTGGGCGCCTACCGTTGAGATTCCGAACCACTTGACTTTTGAATTTGACAAAAAACTAGCAGTGGTTCAGAATCATTTAAAAAGTGCACATTTATATTAAGAAGTCTGAAGTCACTGTAGTTTAATTTTCAGTTTTTCATTAGTTTCGTTCAGATCTAATCTTGGGAAAGCCCATCCCCTAAAAATCTAAAACGCCATTGTAAACTAAACAAGTGAGGCTTCGTTCACATGCAGTGCAAACTGAACCACAATGACTTGACGATCGGTTCTTCTGAGTCCATTCATCGAACGGGGTACCCAGCTAGTACTGTATATTTGCAAACACAGGACTCAAACCTATACCTTTCCCTTCCATGAATACTATCAATTTCTATCCCAACTGACATGTAAATATATTACTTTGACCTACGCCACCCAGTTGTGTCCAAATGTGGGCCATACCCGTTAACGTAAATGTGCCCAGATGTCAAATTTGCCCCATATCCGTTGATGTTCTCATGTATCCAAATGTCACATTTGCTCCATATATACCCGTTAGCGTTCTGATGAGCCCAAAATGTCAAATGTGTTCAATACCCATTAACGTCCCGATGTGCCCAGATGTCAAATTTGTCCCATATCCGTTGATGTTCTGATGTGTCCACAAGTCAAATATGCCCCATATCCGTTATCGTTCTGATGTGTCCAGATGTCAAATTTGCGCCATATCCGTTGATGTTCTCATGTACCCAAATGTCAAGTGTGCCCAAAATGCGCACAATACCCGCTGACGTACCGGAACCTCCATATTATGTGAGACAGCGTGGTGAACTCAGGCGCTCGTCAAAATAAAGAAATTGAAGAAACTAGCATTTTTCTGCCAGTTTGGCAATTTTTATCGAAATTTTGCTTTTCTGCTTAATACCACTGTCGTCCAATTAAGGACACATTTCTGGGTAGATTCTACTGAAAAATGTTGATTAAAAGCAGGTCATATGCACTCAGGGTCGACAACAGCAACTAAGCCGAAGATGCAAGGCATGATGAATAGATATGTAATTATTATGGATACTATTTGTGGAAACGCCGATAAAAGAAAATGCAGAAAATAAATATCCGAAAAAATTAACTTGCTCTTCCATATACATTGTACTATACCACAGTATGAGTTCTGGCGCGCATGATGCTTTCATCTTCTACCGCTTTTAAACGTGAAATACAACTTGTGTCACGTTGGAAGTATGTTACTTCATACCAATATTCATCTTTCATCTACAAACAACCGACCCCCCCCCTCCCCCTCCCCTTTTTTTTTCTCATCTCCAAACAAAAACATTACGACCATACAAACATATTTTTCGTTTTGTTGCACTGCTTGCGAGCGACATGGATCTTTTTCTGTAAATGTCAATCTAACATCTCTATTCTTAGATTAATGTGTTACTATTATTAGCATTACTGTAGTTCGCTAATGACGTCACGTCGGCCTTGACGTGGCGTCATAGAGACTCGAGATGCCGGATGTGCGTAGAAAGTTCCAGATGGAAAGATCAATCAACAGACTTTTTCTACCGATTTTTTCCACTGTCTGTATTTGATGTGTGCTTCAAAAATTAATAAGCGTGTTAAAGTTTACTCTTGCGCGTTGGAAGTTCTAAAGACTCTATGGAACACTACCTTTTAATGCAAATATACCCCCCCCCCCA